GTTAACTTCCAGTATTTATGGTTATACTTCGAAAGAATTCGATTCGAAATAGTCAGGAAGTAAAAATGCCCCAATTTTTTAATACTTTCCGTGAATTAAAGATGACGTAATGGAAAAAGTGGGTGTATAGTTTTGTTGGCTGCATTTTCGGCATGGAATATGAACAGGATATCTCCAATAATGATCATTAAACAGATGATATGAATGTTGTGTGGGTAAATATATATGGCTCCTTAAAGAGTGTATTACTGCAAATAAAATGCTTAGTCATACTCATCATAAATTAACAGAACGGGAAATCCGAGTAGACGATATTGTTAAATGTTAATTGTGATTAATCTCTGTGAGAATTCCGGTAATATACAGCCCATTGCTTACGCCGTATTTCTGCGACATTGTTGGTCCGGAGAAACTAAGGATCTAAAAAAATTTGATGAATGAAAATCTTGTTTGAGCTGTTAACTTAACCCATAAAGTTAGACATGTCGTAATTTTCGTGTAAACTTTCTTTCAACGGCTTAATTTAATTGTAAGCACCCCTTTCGCACTCTTGTACTATTAATATCAATAACAGTCCAATTTCGTAATCCTCATTTAAGTGTAAACTTTATCTACACGGCAAATATTGAGTCTGAACGTTATAAAGGGGGTGCTAAACTTTGCAAAGTTACAAACAGGCTGAACTTTAGTCGTAATACCAATATTAAATATTTTAGATAAAGACATCATAAATTAATTGTCGTTATATTATTTTTAAATTATAGCCAACACAAATTACTGTTTGTAAAGTTTATATTTAATAATGTTAAAATTAACAATAATAATTTAGGGCCATAAGTTGTAAATTGTTGTGGCGTGAACAGATATGCTAATAAGGAATACAAAACTGGTGAACCTCGCAAACCTCGCTCAACTAGGTTATAGTAGAACAGAATTTTGAAATTTTTTTATCGTCTTAATATGTTTCTACCATCATTTATTTAAGTAAATGGAAGTCCTTTATGTCACGTATAAACATTTAAAACATTTATTCAACATTAAATGTTATATATCTTCTCAGAATTTTGTTAGAAATGTTTTCTAAAATGTAGGTAATTGCAGATTATATTGAAAGTGATGAAAGTTCAAGCAAACAAAAAGTCTACGATTGCGTTATGAATGTTATCACAGAGATGTAGTTATATTTAAATTTTTCCCTAAAAAAATATCTAAAATTATTAAGGCTGTTGCTACAACGAAGCGGCTAAAAAATAGTGCCGACTGATATTTCGTAAGAATTAGTGGTAAAATGGCAAAGTGGTTACGTAAAAATTTTATGGCTTTTATGTTTTGCAATATTTTATAAGAGTGTTTTGTAATATTGTAACAACAGAGTTTAGATAAGGTACAAAAAAATGCGAAATAAAATACAAATTTAACGTTAATTAATTTTAGACGAATATTTTGATCCGTATAACATCATGCAAACACGCCTTAGTACTTACTTCCTGTAGGATCAAACATAGTTTAGATAAGAGACAAAAAATTGCTAAATAAAATAAAAATTTAACGTTAATTAATTTTAGAGTAATATTATGATTCGTTTAACACTATGCAAACATACCTTAGTACTTGATTCCCGTTTCGAATCAAGAAACAATACTGATAAAACATAAATTAGTTTTTTTGCAAGTCCTTATTTTACCTTGATTGTTCTTTTGAAGAATCAGTTGGTATTATTTCTTGCTGATTTAAGCGTATCAACAGCCCTAAGTAGGTTCAGCGTCTTTGATTCTTCCAATTTTCATTATAAAAGAAAATACAATATAAGTAAACAAAAGAAAAGAAAATGAACTAAGGAAAGTACTTATTCTTCTATAGCGGAGTAGATAAAGATCGACGAGTCGAAGCAGGTGTACGAATATTGCACGTAATAGTTAGTTAACAATATAAAGAAATGAGAAGAATGAAATGAAACGTCAAAGGAAATAGAATTAAAAAAATAACATCGAATTTCAGAAAATACTTAGAATAGAAAACAATGAAGAAATTAAAAAGGCCAAGAGGAATAAAATATTGTAAAGCATCAAGCCCTACACGTAAAAATGTCTAATGGAAATGAATGAGATTCCAAAAACGTGGGAATTATTTCAGAGTTTTTAGCATTCATTTCAAGAAATATAGCCAAAGTAACTTCATATTCGTCCGACGAATTTTTCAGGTATTAATGTTTTCTTTCAAGATTTTGTTGAAATATTCTTAGAAATGATTCTCTTTTTCACTATTACTTGATTAACTACTTATAATAAAAATCTATAAAAACTTCTAAACAAGATAGTTCACATTCTCCTTGAATATAGCTTGATTGAATGCTTTCTTGGAAAATTTTTGAACAAATTGTCTCACTTTTCAGTGGCTATAATAAAAATTATTTCAAATTTGTAATTTACGAAAAACTTAGTTAAGTCGGCATTTTCTGCCATTCCAATGAAGCACGTTTAACATTTTCTTTTTGGAAAATTTTCGGAAATTATTTTACATCTTTTAGCAATTATTTGATGAAATATAGCCAAAGTAGCTTCTGATTCATAGTCGAAAATAATTCTTCATGTATTAACGCTATTTTCCATACTAGTAGGCCCCATTTCAACATTTTTTTTTAAGTTTTTGGAAATAATTCTCTTTTTCACAATTATTTCACTAATTATATATTACAAAAACCACTTCGAAATCTATAAGAAATTCTATATAACATGTCGTGTATTCTTCGATATATAATATATCGATTTTTGAACATTTTTTTGGAAATCTTTGGAAAAATCAAGAAATAGTGTCAAATTGAACCCATAATGATGAACGCCACAGAAGGTTCAAGAGAAAAAAATTAAACATAATTTTTGAAGAGAATTTCTTAAATTTTAGTTTTTCGTATTTTTTCCAAATAAACCTTACCGTGATAGCAAAAAATGAAGTTCATGTTCGTAATTAGGAATATGTACAACAAATATGCAACACATTTGTTTAAACAAAAACAGGTTTTTAACATTTAAATTTTGCAAGCCTTTGTTATTAATAGAGACCAAAAGCCAAAGTCCTGCGGTTCGATTCTTTCAGGATTATTATACCCGAAAATTATTTTTAATTGTATGGAGTGTTATCTAGAGTGTAACTCATCATATTTTGCACATTTTGGGTACAATTTATTCGGCAAAATTTTGAGATGAAGTCATCAATCTTTTTTGGGGAATAAACAGATCTATTTTGATTAACAATTTACCATGCTTACAATAACTTTAAAATGTCTGCAAGATTTAAAAATATTCAGTTTTGCAATTCTTGATTTATTCAATAAAATATATTGACTGATTCATTTTTTGAGTCACCCTGTATAAGCAAATCTAAAAAATATCAATGCAATGATAAATTAAGAGTGTAGACTGATCATATTTCGCACATTTTAGACAGGATTTATTAGGCAAAATTTTGAGATGACGTCATCAATTTTTGTTGGTTGATAAACCGATACACTTTGATTAAAAAATTACCGTCCTTAAAATAACTTTAAAACATCTGCAAGATTTCAAAGCATTCGGTTTTGCGGATTCAAAATTAAATTACAAAATGTTATTTTATAATTTTGATTTTTCTTTCAAAAATCTGGACGTTACGGATAAAACTCAACACAGAGTCATAAACTACATGTGTAGGACTATGTTATTTTATACAATTTAAAACGTATTTACTATGTACAGTTTTGAAGTGATGTTTTCACATTATTGGTGGGGATGATTAGACAAATTTTTGTTAGGGTTTTACCATCTATATATTTCTAATATAAATACAAAATTTGACAACAATCGGCTCAGTACCTTCGGAGATTATCTGTCTAATACAAATCGGAACGGCAGACAGATGGAAACTGCAGACTTATTTCTTCGTACTCTAGGGGTCATGCAAGGTAGAGAAAACGTAGAACTAGAGAGTCGGTCGACGGACTTGATTACAATACTTCCTTCGTTTACGCTCGGAAAGTAAAAATGGTCGAACGTTATTTCGATAGGACTTCCCTCTCTCCTGAAGTACAGTCCAACAAATCTTGCTTCTTTGAAAAAAAAAAAAAAGATTTTACTTGTTTTTATACATTAAAATATATATAAAATATTTTTTAATGAGACACCACAATTTTGACACGTGCAGTGCAATACTAATAATAAAAATATAAAAAAATATACACTGCAAAAAACGAAAACTCCATGCAACAATCGAACCTGCGTAATTTTCGCAAACATAAGTAGAACAAAAAATAGAATAAGATGAAGTAATAAAGTACAAGGTGTTCTATTTGAATAAATGGAAATATCGATATTTGAAAATTGTAATATAATTATTTTTTTATAAACACGGTGTATACGAAGAGTTAATTTTGTTTATACCACAACAAAGCGCGTACCTTTATCTCTCCACTAAATATTGTAATACAGATTTTGCAAGTAACCCTTCTGCGATTCTTTTTGTGAACCCTTCCACTGCTAAAAAAATGTTTTGACTTTTTTCTATTTTTAATAATTAATGAGATATCGAGGAACGCGCACATAGTGACTCACCCTGTATATTAAATTAAAAATAATATATCAAACGAATTACCACCAAAAAGGTAGGTAGCTCAGGCTATTCATAAGATTTTTAGGACCCAAGAAATAAGCAAACCTCCACCATCCGGCCGCTGGGTATTCCGTATTATGATGTTACATAAACTAGGAGATCCTAGAATGTAGGACCACCTAATTTAGTTTTAGTTAACCATCATCAAATTTACCAGGCCTCCTCAATTACGTCAAGACTGATGTATCAGAAGGAAATTATCAATACTCTATTAGTTTGTAACAGCAGCTAGAAGCAGTAGTAGTGTACCTACTACATGTAGAAAAGAGTGTTAAAGAGGTTGCGAACTCCAAACCGCGAAACCGCAAACGTGCGATGTGCAACCGCGATACCAGCTAGCGAATTCCGCGATCCACCTCGACCCCGCCGTCCAGGACGTCCGCGTGCTCCTTCCATCAGTCATCCGTCCGTCTCGTCCGTGGGCGTGTCTGCCATCGCTTCCGTCCGCACGCGGTGCGTACCCCAGCAGGTCGCCGCCGCCGCCAGCATCCGCGTCGGGCTTGCGCGACTTCCGAGGGGGTTTGGCCCGTCCGCGCCGTCAGTTCAGCGTCGACAGCCGTCGTGTCGCGTGCATGTCATGTCCCATCCACGAGCGCCGTGATGAGTTCGAACGAGACGAAAAACTGCTCCCCCGGCCTGATGCTGCCGTGCTGGGGCCCGCCCGGCGAGGTCATGTCCACGACCGATCAGGTGGGCCGCGGCCTGGTCTACTTCCTCGCCATGGTGTACCTCTTCATCGGGGTGTCCATCATCTCCGACCGGTTCATGGCCGCCATCGAGGTGATCACGTCGCAGGAGCGCGAAGTCACCGTCAAGAAGGCGGGCGGCGAGCGCCACATCGTGGTGGTGAGGGTGTGGAACGAGACGGTGGCCAACCTCACGCTGATGGCGCTGGGCTCCAGCGCCCCCGAGATCCTGCTGTCGGTCATCGAGATCTACGCGAAGAACTTCGAGGCGGGCGACCTGGGGCCGGGCACCATCGTCGGCTCGGCGGCGTACAACCTCTTCGTGATTATCGCGCTCTGCGTGATGGTTATCCCCGACGGGGAGGTGCGCAAAATCAAGCACTTGAGCGTCTTCTTCGTCACGGCGATTTGGTCCGTTTTTGCCTACGTCTGGCTGTATATGATTCTAGCGCTGTTCTCGCCGGGGGAGGTGGAGATTTGGGAGGGTTTGCTCACATTCCTGTTCTTCCCGCTGACGGTGCTGACGGCGTATGCTGCAGACAGAAAAATGTACAAGTACATGAAGAAGGACTATAGGTAGGAGCTCAATTTTGTTTCTAAAGTTTGGGAGAAAAAGTGAAAATCTATACATGTCCTTCAACGTTTTTATTAAGTAATTATATTTAAATGTGCTTTACAAACAGCTAGTTTACCTCTGATTCGTTAATTAATCACGTTTCGCGTTGCATATGCAGTCTCATAAGACTAGAACTTGGTGACAGATGGATTAACAATACACATTCACATACGCCCTATTGGGGTCTAGGATCTCTGAGGAACTCAGCTTTTGACATTCATGAATAAATTCTGTGCTAAGAGTTTAAACTTAATTCAAAATCTACAAAATACTTTATCGTATATACACAGTGTTTATAAATAATTATCACATCATAGGTGGCGCTGACACCATGAAGTGATTTGCCGCTTCATGCCGACTTGGGTCGAATAAATTGATCTAATAACGAATGAAGCGTTCGGTCTCTTAGGTCTGGATTTTTTTGCGTTAATGTGTTGTGAAATTTCTGACCTCTATTTCCTGTTAACACCGGAATTTTATCTAAGTTACTGCGGCTTTCTGGTTTTCCGATGTACTGTGGCTTTTCAAGAAAGTTTCCTGATCTCATATTTTCCATTAATCCCTATTTACTCATTTTTCAATTAAATACATTTTGTCAATCAATTTTTTTTTAATGTTTTTCGGTATTTCAACAGGTACAATTTTCTTGAAGACCGATTGTGTTTTGTACGCGCTGTTTTAAACGACGCTGTATTATTTTTAGCAAAACATCGTTTTCAATATTTTATTATTGAAATGGCGTATTTTTGAGATGAGAATGGACTTTATTAATGCACATAAATTCGAATAAATGGTAAATTGTCCAGATGAAAACCGTCTTGAAATTTCTTTTATTCAACACATTGGATGTACTGTGGATGGATTTACGCCAATACGAGATGTGAACACTGGCAAAAAAACAAGGGAAAATCATAGTGGCCTATTGAAATATTTGTATTAAAAGAAAATGGTCAAAAGGTGTTTAGCTAGAACTTCCCTCGTCTCTGAAGCACACTCAATTAAGCTAGTCGTGTTTCTTTGATGGGTCATAAAATTTGGTTCTGTGCATTTTATTTCTACTTCTAAGTAAACTAAGGAAGTATTATAATCGAGTCTATCGGGCAACTGGCTACTTTTATATTTTCTCAATAAGTCATGACTAGACAGCGGATTTCTGTCGGGCTACGTCACGATTATAGGTGAGGACGCGCTGGATCGCCGGGACTCAGTAGCGGGTGATAGATCATCACTGAATTTGAATATCACTTATTCCATAAGTACAATTAACGATTTATTAATCAAACGGCTAAGTAAATGAGAACTAGAATTAACAGCAGAGTGCAACGAAGCAGCGGTATTCTAATCCCAAATAAACGAAGTGCAGCCCGTAACTGCAATGAATTCCCATCCCGTACGAGCCGTACCGAGTTTGGCCTTGTCTAGCCCGACCGAAATCCGCTCTCTAGTCATGACCCCTAGAATACAAACATTTACAACACTTATGGACTTATTTATTAATTTGAACAGGTGTACTAATAATAACAGTCCTGTATTCTCAGATTTTGTGGAAAATAGGATGAACCGCCCCTGATTTGATTAATAAGAAGACGGAAACGAGGGACTACTTTTTCGTATTCTACAAGTTATGAAATGTTGTTATCAAAGTGTTAAAAAACGGAAAACACGCTACGATATGACACCCTTTCATTAACATAGACAATAGTCTTTAAATAAAATTAAACTATCACTAAGAAATTCTTTTTTTTAACCGCGTTACCTTTTGTGTATTTGTTTATCGAAGCAGTAGACAAACTCTTTAATTTCATTTGATACTACAACCTTAATTATTTTACTTATATTTGACTATGCTTGGAGAGAAAAGTCCGGAAACTTGGGGTTTAGAACCACTGACGCCAGTGTTCCTGGCCTGACAGTGTTGAAGCTTCCTAATAAATCTTGTAGATTACGTTTCTGCACTGTGTTAGGAAGCCTTTTCGCGAACAAGTATGTTGTCTCCAGTTTCCGATTTATTGATATTTGAACTGAATATTTAAGCTGTTATTTTCCGACCGTAAGTTACAGGAATTACAGTAACAGGATATCTTTAACGAATGTATAATTTGATGTTCTCTCGATGTTTTATGGCTTATAAAATACGAAATCTCTGTCTCTCGTTTGACTAATACAAAACACTAAACAGACAATAATAAAGTAGAAGGTGGTGTGAAGATTTACGTTCGCGTAAGTTGCAAAGACGGCAATTTTCTTGAGGTTAATCTTGTAACTAAGATCTTTAAAATTAAATCGATAAATGTAGTACATTTTGGTACTTTAACCAATGACTTAATCCCGTAAACAAAATAGGATTTTTAGTGGAAAAGAAGTCCTGATTATTATTATTTTTTTTATATACACGAAAACAGCTTCAGAAATACACTTCCATATTAAAAGCACTAGAGTATTTTACGTTGGATTAATATTTACTTATTTGTTCAATATCCAGTACTAAACATTCGATATTGAACAAATAAGCATTAATCCAACGAAGTGTGTTCATGAATTGGCAAACCGAGTTTACATTTGATTTGAAATAGTAGAGACAACTAAACAGAGCTTAGAGATTTCAGAGTCACAATGCAGACCAGACGGGCACCAACTTCATAATTAAAAACCCGTTAGCATTTACTTGGTATGTGGTTTTGTCATACAGGGATTTAATAATTAGAAGTCTGTTAGCGCCACCGCTAAAACGGAACACTTGTAGAATGCAAATTATGATTTCGACAATCCAAGGGTCTTTCAAACCAATGAAATTGGTTTTGACCAGGGGCGGCTCGTGATTAGCGCAAGTTTGACGGATAATTCTACTTTCTTCATGTATTAAAGTTTCTGGTGCGCAGGTGTATAATGCAATATTTGAACTATTGGTAGCTAATTTTAGCAACAGAGTGGGTGTAGTATTTTAAGAGTTACGTTGGAGTAATATTAAGAACATTCTACCTGCGATGTATATGGAAATGCGTTGGTCTTTGTTGGGACAAGGAAAAATTCGGGAACAGTTTGACGACCAAAACCGATACGTACCTATGTGTAAAACGATGCGTAAACATAAAATTTGATGACCAAGTTTAATTGTCTCCTTTTGCTTACACCCACGAGCCGCCACTGCTTTCGATATATTTTTTTCGAAATAAATGCGTATTTGGAATTTAAACATCTGAATGCTTCCTCGTTGCGGCGATTTGATCCGTGTTTGTCTACCTTTGGCGTTATCTGATTCTGCCGGTGTTCTTGCGGGGGTGGTGGATCTGGAATGGTTCCCTTGCATTCCTGTAGTTTCCGTTGGCGGCGTATGCGAGGGATGTGAAGATGTACAAGTACATATGGAAGGATTATAGGTAGAGAGTGAAATTCTATAACGATATTTATAAAGCACTACGCTCATGTTATATGTATCCATGTTAATCCTTGAAATTCGGACACTTGTATTTCTAATATAGTAGGTAACACTAAGTAAACGTGGGGTATATAGGATTTCAGAACAAGGGGATGTAGTGAGTGTTACAATAATTTGCACATTAATTGCGTCCCAAGTAAGACCTTAAACTTGTCAAAAATAATAGCCAATTCAAAATTAGAGAATTTATTGCAAATATAAATTCTTTTCTTCTTTCAAACAGTGTTTTTACTTCCTGAGCGTAAGCTGAGGAAGTATTATTTATTTATTTAAATGAAAGTTACAGAGTGGAGGATATGTCCTTTAAATACTCATTACAAAGTGAATTAATTGAAAGTAACGGATTTGATTTCTTCTTAAAAGATTTTCACAGTGGATGCTGTAACGGTGGCAGGATGTAGAGAGTTCTATTCAGAAAAAATACAATCGAGTCCACTGGGTGACTAGCTGCTTCTATGTTTTCTCGACGTTTCATGACCCCGAGAGTACGAAAAAATTAGTTTCCTGTTTGCGTCTGTCTGTTGGCCGTCTGTGCGGATTTTTACTAAACAATTTTACAAAATACCGTACTCTTCAAAATTGTAATATGTATAACAACTTTTACAATTTAACTTTGAAATTGCAAAATCGAATGCTTTGAAATCTTGCAAACGCTTCAAGGTTATAGAAAGCATAGTAAATCGTTAATCAAAATTTATCCGTTCATGCTTCTCTCCAAAGAATTGATAACGTCATCTTACAATTTTGTCGAATAAATGTTATTTAAATGTAAAAAGTAACATAGTCCTGAATTTGTGGTTTATGAATCCGTGTTGAATTTTTATCCTAGACATCGAGATTTTTGGCACAAAATCTAAATTTCTCAATTTCTGAATTTTTTGAATTTTCGATTTGTTCGATTTTTCAACATTCAATTTCTCAATTTCTGGATATTTCAGTTTTGGGATTCTTCAGTTTTTTTATTCTTCATTTCTCAATTTTTTAATTTTTCGATTCTTTAGTTTCTCGCTTCTTTAAATTTAAGATTTCTGGATTTTTTCACTTTCGGCTTCACAATTTTCCGATTTTTCAATTATTCAATTTTTGATGTTTCCAAATTTTCCAGTTTTCAACAAATCAATTTTTGATGTTTCTACTTTTTCCATTTCTAGATTTGTCGACGTTTCGACTTTTCGATTTTTTTATTTGCCAAATTTTCGATTCCTCGCCTTTTAAATGTTTCGATTTCCCGACTTCTCGGTTTTTCAATTTCTCATTTCAATTTGTCCATTTTTCACTGCTTTGGTTTTTCAATAGTTTTTTTATTTTTTTTTATTTTCAATTTTTCGACTCCGATTTTTAGACCTTTCGATATCTCGATTTTTCAATTTCTCAATTTTTCGATGTTTCAGTTTTGGGATCTTTTAATATTAATAATTCTTGAATTTTTGATATTTTAGTTTTGGAATTTTTCAATATTTCGATTCATTTTTTGATTTTTCAATTTCTCGTGTTTTTACTTCGATTTAACAATTTTTCGATTTT